AGTGGACCCGGGAGCGCCTCCTGCCCCTCCCGCTGAACCTCTGCACCTATTCAGGTCCCATGCGAGCCAAGCCACATGTCCTGCTACAGGGATGAAAATGTTGGTCTTCTCTTGTAGGCACCCCCATCTTTAGAAAAATTCTTTTTCCCCCTTTCCTTTTCTGTTCGCATGGGGGAGTTATGCCCCTTCCCCTCTCAGTCCCCCTGGGAGGGGACCTAGAGCTGGCAGCTGTCTGGGACGGCCCCGAGGGGCTGGGCCTCTCGTGGTGCTCTGGCAGATCGGGGCTGGCAGGTGCCCGCCGCTCTCTGATCTTAAAACGCACCTGCGTCGCTGGTTTTCGGCCTTAGCTGGGGCCTGAGCTGCAGTTCAGGGCCTTACTCCACGTCCTCTTAGCTTTGGGGTCTTTTGGCAAAACTTGCCTCAGAGCTGAGCTCTGCTACTCACGACTGAGTGTCAATTTCTTGACCCAGAATCTCCTTCTGGGGTTGTTTGACGATAGAGCGAATGAGGGCCATTTGGCTTTCACATGCAAGGTGACCGGTCCTGTTCGTTCTCTTTCTCGTCCCTTCACCCCCCACACCCGCCCTCTGCACGCTACTTGCAGCCGTTTCTGTGTATGGGCGCACCTATGCAGACAGATATAAACATGCGTGTTTTCTTGCTCCTTGAATCCATGTTATGCCATTGGTGCAGGAAAAGACACTGAGGACATAAATCTTCACCATTCAGTCGCAATCGTCCTGAGTTCTCATATGACTCATCGCGTCACAGCGACCGAGGGCGGCAGGTGTGGACTTTCTGCTCCCCGCAGCACAGCTGTGTAGGTGTGCTGTTACCAGAAACCCCCCGGCACTACCCAGCGCGCTACCGAGATGACTGGGATGAAAGAAAAGAAAGAATGAAACAAAGAAATGTGATTGTTTTTATGTTTTACCATCAAGAATACCGTTTTAGTTAAAATGAGACCATCCAAATGAGAATAAACAAATTTACATAATAGAAGTTTTGATGCTGATTTCTAAACTGACTGGGGTTTTACCTGATAAAATCTACAAAGCAGAATATTTATCCTCAAAACACATCAGCCGCGCATAATCATTACTCATGCTTTCACACCCTCAAATATGGTAGATTTTTAAAAAACTAAATAGGTTGAGAGCTTTTTAGGATACCTGGGCTCTATGTTTAGAGAAAGAAAAGTTAGTTCAATTGTTCATTCAACAACCGTTTGTTAAATTACTAAGCTAAAGAAGTGTCTCTGTTGCTTTCAAATTGGGAGCTTAGTCTAACAGAGGGAAATGAAGTAAACAAACAAAATCACACTCCAGTGGCTTCCTATTCTCCTTTCCACGTCCAGTGGCTTCCCCAGCTCCCCCAGCTTCACCAGCTGGGGACACCCCAACACCACGATGGCCGTTTCCACCACCACCAAGCAAGCGTAAAAAGGTCTGCTGTATGTGCCCGGCAGGAAAGTCTACAAGAAGGAGAGACATCTTGAATCATTGCCTCTCCAAGCTTCACCATTGACTAAATCCACACAATACCACCCGACTAGTCATCATAACCAGTTACCAGCGGCTCCTGCAAGTCGCATCTGGCAGAGACGTAAGCGTGTCCACCCGGACTACCCGTGGCCAGGCCCTGCTTCCGTGCACACGTGCCCGCGCACACGCATGCGGAGGAGGGAGGCAGGGCTTGTGTTTGACTTTATTTTTAGACGGAAGATACACTCAAAGCTCTGGCTGATTTTGACTAACACGAATGACTTCAACAGTTCCAACACACCAACCAAAAAAGTCCCATGAGCTTGACGTACACACAGAGACAATGGCCAGGCCACCCCAGGAACAGGATGTTGAAATTGAAGCATCTCGGGAGTCACTAGTCCAGATCTCTCATTTTACTGATAAGGAGACATAGGCCTTTGACTGTGTCGGGAAAAACTCAAAAGACACTTAAACAGGAAGAAAAAGAGCACCGGGTTTCCTATGTGGCACACCTTCCAGGGTGTCTAGTGCTACAGGGGTTTGAGGCCAGTCGTCAAGCTGTTAGATAACTTAGTAAGTCTTAGAAAACTTACAGTAATGCAAATAATCCTTGTCCCTAGACATGCCAATGAATATTTTCATGTGGAATTGAAATGATGAAGTCCCAGTGGATATTAACAACTTTTCCATCCATGTGCAAATTCTTTTCAGCATTCCTAATGACCTATGTGTGTGTGTTTGTGAACCAGTAATGTTATCTTTCTGGTTCCCTCATTAATTAACGCATGAAACAGAACCACAACCACCTTCTCAGTGCTCCAGTTAGCATGGCAAGGAGCAAGCCAAAGAGAGTCTAGAGTTTTACTTTCGGGAGGTCCAGGTATGAAGGGGAAGGCAGTGGGGCAAACTTGCTTCTTCTGTCCCTGGATGATTGTGGGAAAAGAAAGGAGACAGAAGCAGTGAAAGGCAAGGGCCAGGCGCAGGTCCCAGCACTGGTTACGGAACGATGAATAAGTAAAGATCTGCGGCTTCCACAACGCAGCCTGGTCCTCCCGAACCAGTCTGCGGGTGTGAGCCCCACGCACGCTCAGGCTGGAAAACCACGGTTCTAGGGGCCCAAAATAATTTGGGGCTCTTACAAAGAGAGGGAAAAATGAATTAAATGAAGCAAGAAGGAGAAACCCTACGACTCTGATCTGGTTCCAATTTTAATAGGAAATGAGCCATAGAAAGCATCACCCTGTGTCTTTGGCATGATGGCTCCAAATGTGGGTAGTGTTGGCAGGATTACCTTGGATTTCAGCCTCAGGAACTACCAGAGAGTGTTTTCTTGTGGTTCTCCAAGCACGACCAAGGCCTTACATCCACTGATGCTCGTTCTAACGAGGGTGCAGAACCGCCCCCAGCAGCCCCGGCTCCGGCAGGGAGGGATGAAAGTCAGGATCGAGCTTTCTCTAATAGGGAGCTGTTTATTTTTACAATTAACATAGAAAAATAGTTAGTCTTTGAGATTTGTTGGTTGGTTTGGTGAGTCAGAACTTAAACTTAAAACACTAGTTCTAAGAGAGGAGTTGCCCCCAAGCTTCACCCACCCTGTAGAAGCCAAACTTTTCCATGACAGAAAAGGATGTATCCTTGAGAAACGCAAGGAGATGAACTGGGGGCAGGGCGTGGGGCCACTCTTGCGTGTCCGGGGCCAGAAAAACTTGAACTCTAAGCACACTGGCTGCCCCTCTGGTCTTAAAGGTTCTGAGAGCTCCCGTGTAACGAAATAAAGTAGATGAAAGAAGACTTGAACTCTGTAGATAGACACTGGTTGGCATTAGCAGCTTCCAAATGCTTGTGTGCTGGGTTCCAGTTCATGGCAGGGGCCGGTGAGCTTCTTTACATTATGTCTTGTTGTGACTGCAACTTCCAGCTCCATTGCTGAACCCAGGCTCCAGACCACGAAGGTAAGACGCCCCGTAGCCTTTCCTTAGGGCATCAGTTACCTAGGGTGGCCAAAGTGCCACAAACAAGGTGCCTTAAGACAAAAAGAAATTCACTGTCTCACAGTTCTGGAGGCGGGGAGTCTGGAATCAAGGTGTCAGCCAGAAATGCTTCCTGGCCTTCACCTAGCGGCTAGTGGCCTCTGGGTGGCCTCTGGCACTGTGGCTGCATAACACCAACTTCTGCCATTGTCGTCATGGGGCGCTCCATCTCTGTCTTCACGGTCACCTGCTCATAAGGACGTCAGTCCCTTCGGACCAGGGCTCCACCCAATTCCAGCAGGACTGCACGTTAACTAATCGAATCTGCGACAACTCTACTTCCAAATAAAAACATGTTTTATGGGGCTTGGCCCTCGACTGGCAGGGGAGGCGAGCGGCCTGGCTGAGCCAGGCTGAGCGCTCAGCAGCAGCAGCCCCCCGCCCTGCACGGGGCCCCGGCTCAGGCCCCGGGGGCCGACTCGAAAATGATCAAGAAGGAAACACCTGGATGAAGGAAAGAAACGGTCCAGGTAAAAGTGGGGCAGACAACAGGGATGTAAAGTACAGCACAGGAAATGGAGCAGCCAAAGAACTTAGACACGTGACCCACAGACAGGAACAATGGTTGGGGGTTGCCTGAGGGAGTGTGGGGTGCTGGGTGGATGGGGGGGAAATCAGGACAACTGTAATAGCACGATCAATAATATATCATTTTTAAATAAGTGGGGCAGACAAATAGAGCAAGAAAAACTAAGAAATACTACCTTAATTTTTTTTGACACTACATAGTAACAACAAAGTCCTTAGAACAGAACATCGTTCTGATACTCAGGAAAACTAAATTCATACAAAAATGGGTAACAGAAAAGTGCCAAGGTCAAATCCCGTGCAAAGACACTATGCGCTCTCAATAAAAAACCCTATTTGAGAATTTTTCACATCTTGTGAGAATGAATTGTTATTTTTCCACCTTAAAATTTCATGAGGAGAAAAAAAAAATCAAAATCAGGTTGGTTTCAGAGAGTAAATAACTAATTACTATCAATTTTTACATCATAATGAATGTAGAGAAAAAAGAAAACAAAATAATCGCTAAAGTATTGAACACACATTTAGCTTCACTAATCGACTTCTAATTGGTGACTATTAAAATTACTATAATATTCTAAAATTTTAATTATTTTTCAGACTTACTCTTGATCCCTAGTTCTTTTTCTCATTTGGTTTGGCCTTGACTTGAGCCAAGTACTGGCTTGAACTCTTGGCCCTTTAGCATTTGGAAAACACACTCATCGGTGCACCCCAACCACGTGAGGCTTGTGGCACGAGTGATAGAGGACACAAATTCTCAGGGAGCTACTTCCCCCAAAAGGAGGACAAGAGCTGGGGTGGACCTGCGTGCCCTCAGCCTCTCTTTCTAGACTCATCAATCTGATTATATCTTCATCAATTATCTACTGCTGTTTAAAAACCACCTGAGAATTCAGTGGCTTAAAACAATTTAATCTGTTCCTAATACTGTGGATTGTGCTCATGGTATTACGTATATTCAGTGACACCTATACTAACACTGAGAAAATAAAGAGAAGATTTACATGGCTCCTGCACAAGGATGACACGCAAATTCAAATGTCAGGTGCTCCACATTTCTAAGGGATCAATTCTTCTAGAAGATAGAACAATGGTAAGTATACATGCGCCCAACATTGGAGCAGCTGAATGTATTAAGCAATAGTAACAGATCTGAAAGGAGAAACAGACCGCAATACAATAATGTTATGGGACTTCCGTATCCCACTTTTGACAAAGGATAGGCCATCCAGACAGAAAATCAGCACGGAATGTTGGAGTTGAACCTAACATTTATAGAACATCCTATCCATCAGCAGAAGAATACCCATTCTTCTCAAATGCACGTAGGACGTTCTCCAGGATAGATCATATGATAGGCCACAAAGCAAGTCTTAGAAATTTTAAGAAGACTGAAATCATACCAACTATCTTTTCCAACCACAGTGGTATAACTAGAACAACAAGAGGAAAGTTGGAAAATTTACACGCATGTGGAAACTAAAGAATATACACCAGAACAATCAATGGATCGAAGAATAAATAAAGAGAAATTTAAAAAACCCTCAAAACAAATAAAAATGGAAAGAGAGTATATCAAAACCCAAGGGATGTTGCAAAAGCAGTTCTGAGAGGGAAGTTTATAGCGATAAATGCAGATGTTATGAAAACAGAAAGATCTCAAACAACCTAATTTTACATTGCAAGGAACGAAAAAAACAAATGAAGCCCAAAATTACCAGAAGGAAGGAAATAACAAAGATTAGAGTGGAAATGAATAAAATGTAGATCAGAAAAACAATAGAAAAGATCAATGAAACTAAAAGCTGTTGTTTTTTTTTTAAAAGGAGAGAAGACTCAAATTCATAAAATCAGAAAAAGAAGACATTACAACTGATATTACAGAAATTCATAGGATCATAAGAGACCACTATTAGCAATTATAGACCACCAAATTGGATAAGCTGGAGGAAATCAGTAATTCCCAGAAACATACAACCTGCCATGTCTGAATCAGGAAGAAATGGAAAATCTTAACAGACTGACTATAAGTTGGGAAACTGAGTCAGTCATCAAAACCCTCCCGACACAGAAAAGCCAGGAGCAGGTGGTTCCAATGGTGAACTCTACCAAACACCAATCCTTCTCAAACTTTTCCAAAAATTAAAGAAGAGGGAACACTTTCAATCTCCTTCATTTTATGAGACTGCACTTCCAGGATAACAAAGCCAGATAAGGATTATAGAAAAGAGAAAACTATAGAACAATAATTTGATAAATATAAATGCAAAAATCCCCAACAAAATATTAACCAACTGAATTCAACACCCATGAAAAGGATCATACGCCATGACGAAGTGGGATTTCTCTTTGGGATGAGAGGATGGGTCAGGATACACAAATCAATAAATGTGATATATCACACTAACAGAATGAAAGATAAAAATCAGAAGATTATCTCAATAGATAAAGTAAAATCATTTGACAAAATACAACATTCTTTCATGAAAAAAAGAAACCCCTCAATGAATTGAGTATGGAAGAAACACACCTCAGCCTAACAAAGGTCATATATGCTGAAACCACAGCTAAGCCCATGCTCAGTGGTGAAAACCTGAAAGCTTTTTCTCTAAAATCAGGACCAGGACCAGGGTGTCCACTGCCACCATTCACATTTAAAACAATATTAGTTCTCCTGACTAGAATAACGAGCAAGGTATAAAATAAAAGGCATCCAAAATGGAAAAGAAAAAGTAAAATTGTCATTATTTGCAGGTGTTATAATCTTATATATGGAAAATTCAACCAAGAATCTGCTGGAACTAATCAAGGAATTCAGTAAAATTGCAGGGTATATCATCAACATACAGGAATCAGTTGTGTTTCTATACATTAACAATGAAATATTGGAAAAAGATGATGCCATTCACAATAGCATCAAAAACAATAAAATACTTGGGAATAAATTTAGCCATAAAAGTGAAAAGTCTGTGCAATGAATACTACAAGACTTGGTAACAGAAACTGAAGAAGACACAAATGGAAAGAAATCTTGTATTCATAATGACCATGGACATGGAGAACAGAGCGGAAACTGACTGTGGGAGAGGGGGGCGGGGTGGGATGGGTGGAGGGGGCAAAGGGGGAAAAATGTACTAGAGTAAACATGATTTAAAAATAAAACTTAAATAAAAAGAAATCTTGTATTCACAGATAAAAAGAATTAATATGCGTCAATGCAATCCCTCTCAAAATCTAATGGCATTTTTACAGAAATAGGAAAAACAATCCTAAAATTTGTATGGAACTACAATAAACCCTAAATAGTCAAAACAATCCTGACAAAGAACAACAAAGCCAGAGGCATCCTGCTTCCTGATTTCAAAGTGCACTACAAAGCTGTAGTGACTAAAACGATATGGTCCGGCATTAAGAACAGACACACAGACCCATGGAACAGACTAGAGAGCCCAGAAATAAATCCATGCACATTCTGCCAACTAGTATTTGCCAAGGGAGCCAAGAACAGTCAATGGGGACAGGAAGTCTCTTCAACAAACGGTGCTGGGAAAACTGGAGAGCCATGTATAGGAAGATGAAATCGGACTCTGTCTCACACCATCCACAAAAGGTAACTTGAAGTGGATTAAAGACTTCAGCATAAGACCTGAGAATGAAACTCCGAGAAAAAATGGGGAAGAAGCTCCTTGGCTCTGGTCTTGGCAACGATTTTTTGGGTATGATGCTTTTGCTTGACATTGCCAAACAGCAGCTCAAGCAAAAAAGCAAAAATTAACAAGTAGGGCTACATCAAACTAAAATTGTTCTGCACAGCAAAAGAATCAACAAAATGAAAAGGCAACTCGTGGAATGGGATAAAATGTTTCCAAACCACATATCAGATAAGGGGTTCATAGCCAAATGTATAAAGAACTCATACACAACAACAAAAAAGATTAAAAACCGGTAGTTATTCTTCCAACAAAGATCTCCAAATGGCTAACAGGTACACAGAACACACTCAACATCATAATAACCAGGGAAACAAAAGTCAAAACCACAATAAGATATCACCTCACACCTGTTAGAATGACTGCCGTCAAGGAGACGGGCGATGACCAAGTGTTGGCTGGGATGTGGAGGACAGGGAACCCTTGTGCACTGTTGGTGGGGATGCAGACTGGTTTCAGCCCCTACGGAAAACCGCGTGGAGGTTCCTCAATCCGTTAAAAATACAGCTGGATACCATGTGATCCAGCAGTCACATTTCTGGACATACATGAAATGAAAACGGAACGTTGACAAGACACCTGCGTTCCCATTTCCATTGCAGCGCTATGCACAACAGCCAAGACACAGAAGCGACCTCATGTCAAGGGACGAATGGATAAGAAGCCGTGGCGTATAAGGGTGTAGACACAGAGGACGGAATAGGACTGAGCCATGAGTGGGGAGGGGATCCTGCCATTTGTAACAGCAGGGGTGGGCCTGAGGGCATTACGTTTAGTGAAATAAGCAGACAGAGAAAGACAAATATTGCATGGTATCACTTCTAGGTGGAATCTAAAAAAGCTGAATTCATAGAAACAGAGAGTAGAACAGTGATTATCCCCGCCCGGGGGTGGGGGAATTGGGGAGATGTTGGTCAAAGGGTGCAAACTTGCAAACAGAAGATGAATAAGTTCTGAAGACCTAATGCTCAGCCTAGCGATGATAATCAACAATTCTGTAGTATACACTTGAAAACTGCTGAAAGACTCCGTATTAAATGTTCTCCCCCCCCCAAATGAAACGATAATTATGTGATGTGCTAGAAGTGTTAGATTAAGCTATGGTGGTAGTCAAACTGCAATATATAAAAGTGTCAAATCAGCACATTGTGCACCTTAAACTGACACAGTGTTGTGTGTAAATTACTCATCTATCTCAGTAAGAAAACACCATGGCTCACCCATTCGCCCTGGACGCGGCGGGGGTCCTGCTGGCCTCGGCCGGCCACCCGCAGCTCGACGGTCTGAGGCGAGCTGGCTGGTGTGGCTGGGGCTGGTTTTGGCCGGTGCTGGGCCCTGCTCCCATGTGTCCCCCGCCCCCGCCCGTCACTAAGAAGTCCAGTCTGGCCTTCCTGGCACAGGGGTGGCAAGCAAGGGGCCAGAGCAGGAGGTGCAAGGCCACTCGGGGCTGAGAGGTTCAGAAGCCCCGGGCCACCCATCCCTTGCCCTGCGTTACGGTGGTGGGAGCACACGGTGAGGCGCCCCCAGACTGCAGGGCCGGAGGGATGAACCCCGCCGCTGCAGGGGAGGTGGCTCAGTCCCCTCGTCAAGGGCCTGGGGGGGGGAGGGGCAACTGGGACAGCTTTTGCCAACAATGCCCCCCAGACGAGTAAGGGCAGAGAGAGTCCAGCTGCGGGAAGGGGAGGGGGCCCTGCTCATGGAAGGGGACAGCAGGAGTAAGGGGGGGCGTCTGTCGCTGCCATGCACCCCGCAGACCGGGGCTGTAAAACAGACGACTCCCATCAACCCATGGATGGCAATTCCACACACTTCCAGAAAAAGAACACTAACCTGAACAACATTATTTTCTGCTTATTACTATATCTTTAAATCTTTCAATGTATAATCAGTGGTTCTAGATCTTTAGATTCTATTTTGCCGTGAAGCTTTGGTATTGTTATGGAAAGTTTAACGACAGTTTCAATATATTTTTCTCCTGATGTGAAAAGTAAACCAATGAATGTGCTTGCAGCTAGAGGGGGGATAAGTAAGCCAGGAGACTTCCAAGCTATGGAGTTCATTGTCAAACCCTGATGAGCTGACGGGAAGCTTCCGACTCACTTGTTCTCTCCAGCACTTCACAAATTGGAGAACTTCTGTGTTTAGAGGGTGTAAGTGTTGGCTCGGTACTGGGGGCCGGGGGATGGTGCTAACCAACCATGATTCACTGCGCCTCTGCCGCCGCAGAGCCCACCGCTTCTTGTGAACGAGCCGGGCTGCTGGCCCATCACCGCCCCGCGGATGAGTAAGAAAGGAAAAGGCCGCCTGCGTCATGGGCAGTGGCTGGGATGGGGAGCGGGGACAGTGCAGG